AAATTAGTTTTGACTGTAATGCCCTCTTCTCCATGCACATTACAAATAAATGAAGCAGGGCCAGAAACTTCTACTCAGCTTGTGCATTACTAATGGGATGGAAACGCCACAAGGCATTCTAGGTCTGTTGCTGTTTACATTATACCTAGTGAGTAATGACCTTTTTTGTTTTTTAAATGTAGTTTTATATAAACTTTGTCTGGTGAAGCACCTCCGCGATAAGCTGCGGCATCACCCAGGAGGATACGCACAGAGAAACAGACCTAAATAGCCTCTGGTTTACAGAATTACAAACGATCTTCTTGGGCGGACACGGACGAGAAGTGAAAAAGTCTGTATTTCAGTAAAGGCAAATAAGACTCAGTTCTCCATCAAAACATACCCATCAAACACACCCACCCACACACTCGCAGCGTTTCCCAGTTGTTCTGGTTGATTAGCGTTCTGCTACTGTAGAGTATACGTGGGCGGATGTGTGATGGGAAGTGGAGCAAATTTAATGGTTGCAATAGGAGAGTGAGAAAGACATCAATCAGTTTCTACACACCCCGTCAGTCCTGAGGAGAGGTCTAATCAGGTAAAATAGGTGAACAAACATTATTAATAAACAAGAGCTCAACAGAAAAAGGCTACCCTCGCTGGCCAGTATTAATCTTGACCGTGTGGACGTTATCTCTTCTTGTTCCAACTTTCCTTTTTCCCTTCGCAGACATCCCTACGTCCCGTTATCCACAGTCACACCAGGCATCCGTCTCGCTCACTTTCTGCTCTGATTGACTGTCATCACATCTGACAGCACAGACGGGAGAAAGATGATAAACAAGACGTTTACACCACGGAGACATCCACGCCTCACACACATGCAAACACACACCATGTACACCGTGGAGAGGAGCGGCGAAGTACGGAGCCACACACTCAGTCTGAGCTGCATTTGACTGATAGCTGATAACCTAAAGCTGTTCTACCTCAAAATCTTTCATCGTAGTCATCATCTGGCTTTAAGTGGTTTATTCTGAACTTGTTCACTGTTTTACAACAGTTCACTGTTCAATTTTACAAGGAGGGACCTGCGAGGCAGAATTAATCAGGATTTTCTTTGGGGAAAAAATGTCAGGGAACTGATACTGTCATGTGAACGAGTGTGTGGCGATCAGAGTGTGAAGGACGTCAAAATCACAGCTTCATTTAAATGCGGGTAAAAAGGCGAAGGAAACAAAAACCCAAAAACAACAATGGAGCCGAACAGGAACAAACCGACGACTGGAGAGTCACCTGACATGAACACAGGAGGAGATTAGAGCAGAGTGGACACACCTGGAGTACACAGCTGAACAGACTCATCACTGATGAGGACGTGAAACTGAACCTGAATCAAAATGATACAGGAAGTGACTAGCTCAGAGACTAAGA